TTCCATGTGCTTCACACGGATGATGTTACTCACTTCTCTTACGGCCAGCGCTATTATTTTCCTCATTTTATTTTTTGTCCTCATTTTAGAAAGGAGGAGACTGAGGCTCAGAGTGTTTAAGTGACTTGTCCAAGGTTATGAACCACATCGGGGGTGAAGCTGGGTGTGACCTGAGCAGTCTGACTCCAGAATCCACTTGCTCCTCCCCACCTTACGGCGATAGAGGGCATGAGCTTTGTTATCAGACAGGCTAGGGTTCTAGTTCCAGCTCTTCTCTGTGATTCCGGGCAAGATATGTAACCTTTCCAAACCTCAGTGTCCTTACTGATAAAATGGGGACAATGATGCCATCCTCAGAGATTGTTGCTGGGGTTTAAATGAGGTAATATACATAAAGCACCTCACCCAGTACCAGGTCGTTGCAAGAGTTTTCCAGAAGAAAAACAGAACTCTCCTCCTACCATCTGGGAGTAGCGCAGTTGATGCATTTCAACAGAATATTTTATAGTCAAACTTCATCCGCAGTAGAGTGAAGAAATGACATGGAAGGCAGAAGGCTGGGGGCAGAAAGCAGGTTCTCTGGCTGGGCATTTCCTTCTTCTCCTCATGGTGAGGCATCATTGATCACTGTGGTCACTGTGCCTCTCAGATGGCCCCTGTGGGAGTTGCTGCCAACCTCTGGGGGTCCTTCTCAGACAATGAGTTGGGAGCTGCACAGAAACAACGTTGGTGGCACCTACTTCATTTCCAAACATCTCTGGGCTCTGGGAATTTGGCCCAGCTTGTGACTACAGTTATTTTAAAGGACAGGTAGAGGTGAGGGGCATTGTTGGGCAGCATCAGCTGGTGTGGTCAGCAAAGGCCTTGTGCAGGAGGCTGGCACTGTGGCTGGGCCCGGGGGTGGGTCGGCTTTGGGGTTGTTTATGAGATGTGCTGGCCCTTTTAGGCTGGCAGGAGAGAATGAGTGAAAGTTCTAGAGCAGGAGCAGACATCAGGCACATAGGGAACATGAGTCAGCCGGCCTGGTGCTCACAGCGGTGTGGTGTCTTGCTCTGATATACACACATGCTGGCACACACATGCCCCAGGGACACACTCAGTCTCTTTGGGCTCAGGACTTACATAGGACACAGGGAGAAACAAGGAAATGGGGGCTCCACCCTTCATCACTGACCCTCCAGGAGACTGAGCAGATAGGACCGAGGGAAGAAGAGCAGCCAGTCCTGCTGTCGGCTGGGGGCTGCTCCCCATCACGCTGGTTCCCTGAGTCAGAGAGAGGAACAACACAGGACTGATTGGAGGGCTGCCTGCAAGACTCCCAGCGCCTTGGGGACCCCTCAGTAACTCTGGGAAGTGAGAGCAACTTACCAGAAGTTGCTGGTCTTAGCCCTCCTTGAGTCGACCACACTGGGGTGGCAGGGCGATCCTGTGTCTCTGCTGCTGTGACCGCCCCTCCCTCCTGGCTTCTGCTGCCCATCCCTTTGTCTGCCTTGTGGCCTTTACCAAATGCAGTTTCTCTTGGCCAATTGGTGTCTGCCTCTGTCTAAAATTCTTCAGGAGAGAGTCCCTGATACCCAAGTCCAGTTAATCCCATAGAGCCTGTAGGACGAAGCACTTTTCACCAGTCTTCTCATGCGCCAGGCCCCACACAGACAGAGGATTGTAGAGAGGATTGTGCTCACCCACATCCTGTTCACCCGCTCAACAAATGCGCATGATGGCGGAGTGCCTGCTAGGGTAATAGGCATGGTGGTAGAGGGCATGGTCCCCTGTGTGCAAGGAATCTCCCACGTAGCTGTGGCACCAACAGCAACATCACTGTGGCTCTAGGGCTTGTCTGTAAACAAGCAAAATTCTCAGGGCAAAACCAAACCAAACCAGCATCTTGATTATTTGCACCCAGTGTCCACTCAGACCTGCTCTGTGGGGCTCATTCTTCCAAACTTTGACGGAAATCCCAGAGGTCCCATGACTTTTCTGGTGACATTAGACATGTCCTTCAGTTGCTCCCTCAAGGCTCATGCAACTTAAACGTGCAGTGCCATGAATCATCGAAAACCCATTTGAAGTTGACCCTGTCTTCTCGTCTAGTTCAAGTGGGCAGTGCTGCGGCTTACGGTGGGGAAGGCACATGGTCAGCGTCTTCACATTTCCCACCCTCCCATGCTCAGTCCTCTCTTCCCACATCTGATGACCATCGTTTCTGCTCCGTCTTCTCCCAGGTTGTAGGGGGACAGAGAAAGAGGAGAGAGGTGGCGAGAGACGTCTTCCTTGGTTTGCACTGTTGTGAGTGGGTTCTGGGATGTTCCAGGTCTGTGGGTGTTTAAGGCTGAGGCTTCCTGTCTTGGGCATCCTTGATGGGTCCATCAGAGACAGGGGCTCCAAGAGCTCAGTCCCCGTCTGCAGTTTTATGATGTAACAAAGGCATTTTTTCTTCTCTGGCTGGTTTGTGACTTCTTCCTCTCTCCCCAAGCCTGGTCTTGCTGGATGGCATCTGAGAAGAGCCTGGTCAACGCTCTCTCTGTGGCTGGCCTCTTGTGCACAGGAAGCTCTCAGGCCTCATTTGTTAGCATGTGCAGAAGTGGTAAAGGATCTATTGAAAGAGCCAAAGTCTCAGTCCGTGTCTTCCAAAAAGAAGCACTGATCTCTCTTTTTCTAAAACCTTTTTTTTTTTTTTTTTTTTTTTTTTTTG